GGATGATGAACAAGAGGGCGCTGCTACTTTTTCAGTTTCTCTCGTGATGAAGAGAGAAGAAACTGCGAAACTGCAATGTTTGGTACACATGTAGTAGTACTAGACTAGAAGTATCTGTTCTGCGAGGGAGATATATTATTCCATAAACATGCATATAAAAAGGTACAGACTTTGCAGGAGAGGGAAAAAAAACTAACATGAAACAGTTCATGCAGACTTTGCAGGAGAGGGAAAAAAAACTAACATGAAACGACAGACTAGGAGCAGCCTAGGCGTTAACAGAGAGGCACCGGATCACCAGCAAGTAATTCAGGGTGGGCAGGAAGAGAGCAGGAGCAGGGAGGTTACCGTGTCTGCCGAGGAACGGGGCCTGGGAGGCACAGATCTGGAGGTTTCAGGGAGGCTGCTAGTGCTCAACGGGCACAACTAGGCAAACTCCAACTCCATGGCTGCAACGGGAGGGAGAGGAAAGGAGGAGACTTTTTCACTCTCTGGAGCCTGGAGGGTAGAGGCGCCGGGCAGCTCGGGCAGGGCAGGTGGTGGGCGCAGGAACGGCCGTGCCTAGCCTACTGATGGCTGGAGGAGGGCATACGCGTAAATCGCTTCTTGCCCCGGGTTTGACGAGAGATTTTGTGGACTGTGGACTTCATCGGTGCAAGGGGAAAAAACTGATTTAGTTAATGGAGATGAAACAGACGGCTAGCGTTAAGAGCGGATGGATGGGATTAATTAATCGGTGTTAATCTTGGACCGCGCCATCGCGTGGTTCGCCGCTGCTTTTCTGGCTTTCCAGTGGCCTCTCTCTCGCAGTCTCGCCTCAAGAGGCCAGACCAGCAGGCGCTTTTGGCCAACCACAAGTTAGGCTCAGTTTTTTTTTCACACACAAAAAAGAAAAGAAAACACAACACAGAGGTCAATTTTTCATCACCGCTCACGAGCCAAGCGCACGTCGCTAACACGTCATTAGCGTCTCAGGGATGACGACATCCAGATCCTGCGTACAGGACGGGCACGGGCATGCATTGAATACCACCGCGAATAGGAGTAGGTGGGAACAGACTACCAGAGGACGACAGACGTTGGGAGATGACATCAAAGTTCGTAAGTTTTTTCACTCTCTTCATCACATCAATTTTTAGACATATACATAAAAAAAATAATTAATTACATAGTTTAGTTATAAATCACGAGACGAATCTTTTAAGCCTAGTTAGTCCATGATCGGACAAAGTTTGTCAAATACAAACGAAACGTGCTACAGTGTCCAGATTGTAAAAATTTACAATCTAAACATGGCCTTGGTTTACAAGGTGAAATCTGGGGAATTCGCAAAAAAAAGGTGAAATCTGGGAAAAAGATCTGTTTTGCGTCAGGTGGAAACCCACCTGTTTCCTCAGAACCACCCGTTCCGGCACCGCATCGTATACAATCATGATTATAAGCCGAAATAATATTTTTCTCTCACGCCAAACCAGACAGCAGTAAATAATCCAATGCCCCGTGCGGCAACAAAACCCAACGTCAGTCTCATCTCATTCTTCCCTCCCTCCCTCTAGAGTGCAGACACCAAACTACGGGAGTTTAACTGAGGAAATGCCTGGAAAAGGACGCCTCAGTATAGCACCTACCTTTGCGGTGCAACACTCATCGTGTCGGCAGGAAGCTACGTACGAGCTACGTACGTTCGTGCCTGCTGGTGATAAAACGTAGAAACACTTGTGCTTGCATCAAAACCAATCAGAACGGCAGGGGAAATGGGGGCCCGAAACGCGAGCGAGCGAGAGAGAGAGAAAGGTCAAAAGCGAAGGTTGGCTTCAACAAAGCATCAGCACGAGCATCAGTCTACTTGCAGGCAGGATGCTTGGTGTAAAGAAAAGCTGGGGCAGATTAGTGGGGGCGACAGCAAATCGAGAATGGGATTCCTTTGTTCTGATGGGCTAGACAGCTTCAAGAGCAATTCATGAATTTTCGAGTACGAATCATTCGAAACGGGGGTAGTAAAAAACTCATATCTTTCCGGTTTGTCTGAGACACCGACTGTGCTGGATAAATATTTATTAATAGCTCTGCTCGTTGTAGCATAACAAGCCCATACCCATAAATGGTTCATGCAACTCAACGCATCTCTAGATTCAGATTCTGAATATTTCTGAAATGCACATAATTAAGTGAGAAAGATTACGAGTCCGTTATGAATCAATGATTGTAAACAAGGGTCTCGTTTATTACAACATCAGTCACGAAGGAGGGTAACGTTGGCTGGATGTGGTCATCAACTCATCATTTCACAGATAACCTGATAGAGATCCACTATGCTTAATTTTAATGTCTGGAGAATCTAAAAATCAAGCCAAATCCCCTGCGATTTTTTAGCTTATAAAATTATTAATTAAGACTGCACTGAACAACTGATGAAAATCTTATAAAGAACCTGGAGTATAATGTCAAACATAACTCTGAAATAAGCTCAATCAAATAGGATGCTGTATGAAAACAATGATAATCTGCGCAACAGAGGCTTAAGAGATAACATAATAAGAATGCAAACATATTTAAGTATATATAGAAACACAATAAAATCAACATAACATATTAGCAACCGTTAGAGAGACAGTCAAGCACACAAAAGCATAATTATGACAGTAAGAAGTAGATATAAAGAAATGTTGTCTTTCAATCACAAAAGAGAATAATTATCGAAACAACAAGTAGCTCTGTTGACAGTGAGGCAAAAACTAGAAGTGACACACAAAAAAAATGAACAATTGTTCTGCGAGGTACTTTGTTGAAGTTCGGGAAAAAAAATAGAAGTGACCAAAAAACAAATGAACAATTGTTCTGTGAGGGAAATATGGTTTGTAAAATCCCAGAAACTATCAATAGTCGATAACCATTTAGAACTGTTAGCTATCAACTGTGGTGACAGTTCCCCACAGAAGATAATTGAAAATTAGAATGGTCTACCACCTGCAAAATTTTGGCAGGCCATGGTTCTCTGCAAACATTTAGTCAGAAATTTGTTGATTATACCTTTTTAACTAAAGTTGGTCAGTTTGGCACTATTGCACTACTACTAGTTGGACGATTTTTTTTCCTGTCATCGCTAGTTCGGGGTTAATGTTCAACCCATGCTATTGAAAGAGATTAAGTGAATACCAAGTTTATGCTGAATCTTTTTAAGCACTGAAGCAAATAAAGAATTGCCAAAAAATGCAATTTGCAGCATGGTAAGGCATTTATCTAGATTGGGGAAGGGGAGAGGGAGGATGTGATAGCGAAGGGTCCAAAAGAGGGTGTCATTAGCCCTCAAATGTAATAAGAAAATTAAATAACAGAAATGTGAAACAGAAGGTGCCTAGGCTGGCCTTGGCCATCCAGCACATTAGAAGTCCAACCCAGGACTTGGGACTCCCCCCTGCCACTGCTCACCAGATGCCACCCTCCGTGCACTAATTGCCTCCAAGTGTGCTTTCGACTCTAGTGGAACTAGTACAGTGCTTTAGAAATTGCGAATTGGCAAGCGATGTTTGATTAATTAGTCAGTGCCAAGTGTCAACTGTATTACTTAATATAGCAGGCATCTATAATATCCTAAGACAGCATTGCACAACAGACCAATACAGAACAATGAGCCAGTGATATAAGATCATCAGAAGCAATACTAATTCTGCTGATGAAATAAACACAATTACACAATACTACTACTTTCATGTCATCAGAAGAAAAGGACGGTTGCATGTACAAGGATTAAAATTTATTAATATGCATCCACCTGATGGTTTCATCTTGGCCTATTCATGATTCACACGATGATTTGACACTACAAAGGTCAGCAGCCTAGTAATCTACCAGCAGTAAGAATAAATTCTAGTAATCTAACCTTTAGTGACCTACTGAGTCTAATAGGAACATTGCAAGAACAATCTTTAACAGTATATCCTAACATAGTCAATTCATGAAAAAAAAATCAACAAAAAGTGGGATAGTTCAGAAAGTTATGAAATGTCAAGGCATGACCAGTGTAACAGTAAGGCTGACACAAGAAAGAGCTCCAAATGTTATGCTTCAATTTCACAAAACTTTTCAAGGTATGAACACTAATTCCCAGAGATACCATATGTCAACCAACCCTCAGAGGCTCAGACCAAACCATCTCTTGGATTATATAAACCACTTACCATTCAAGTTATTTTGCGCAGCTACTGTTAAACACTGGGCAAATTTAGAAATAAACTTAAAAGTGCAACAAAACACAGAGATACCATATGTCAACCATCCCTCAGACCAAACCATCTCTTTTATGGGATTATATCAACCACTTACCATTCAAGCTATTTTGCGCGGCTACTGTTAAACACTGGGCAAATTTAGATATAAACTTAAAAGTGCAACAGAACTTCAACACATTTAAGATCTTAAATGTCGTGGTCATGAACCCAACATCAAAGAAGAAATTTCCAGGTTTAAGGCAAAAGCCACAAATACCCCATAGCTCCAAACAGCACAGCAACTGCAGTTAAAATGTCTCTGATTGTGCCCACAAAACCATTTGACATGGTTGATAAGACCAGGTAACAGGCAACTAGTAAAAATACAGATATTTTGGTACATGAAACCCAGTACAGATCCACGAAGTACATAATGAAGTCGCAATAGCAAAACTACATATTAGGCAATAAAACGACATAATCCTTCAAGAAAGTTCCTCCTTCAAATACTGCTACAAAGGCATCTGATTCAAATCCAGTTGTAAAATTCAACAGCAGGAAGCCTTTCGCAACATTTTGGCACCAATATAGACTTAAAAGCCATCCGAATGCAAAACCACATGATCGAACCATGACCCGCAGATGCCAAACTAAGATACAAGGAAAATAATCAGATGACTGTAAGAACAAGATCAACAAATCACAAAGAATGCATAGAGAATGAAGGAAATCGAAGCAATATAGTAAAGGTGGGTCATAAAACAATGTTGAGAGTTGAGATACCTAGTACTGTCAATATCCACCCTGAAAACCAGTGCCTCCAATCTGAGCCTGGCCCTGCCCAGCTGCCCCAGCCTGATAACCAGCAGCACTGGCAGCGGCGGCAGCTGCTGCCGCTGCAGTGCTTGTCTGGGTAGTTGCTTGGCCAACCTGAAACCCAGGTGGCCCTTGAAAACCAGGAGGAGCTCCAGCTCCTTGATATGCAGCCGCTGCTGCTTGAACACCAGCTGCATTTGGGAAAGCTGCACCTCCTGCTCCAAATGCCTGTGCCCCAAAACCCTGAGCTCCAAAACCCGTAAGACCAGCTGTGTGTGCCTGCTGCCCCCCTGCACCTAATGCAGCAGCAGCGAAGGCCGGATTCATAGCAGCAAGCATGGCTGGCGTCATCCCTAGTGCAGCTGGGTTCTGCATTGCTGCTATCATGGCAAGCATTGCATTGGGTTGAGCAAACGCCTGTTGCTGTGCACCTAATCCAAGCATAGCAGCTTGCTGTGCAAAACTCATGTCAGGAACCACAGTAGCACCATATGCTGATGCATCATATGGGCTAATGGCAGCACTGGCAGGAGCAGTCATCTCTTGCTGGCAGCAGCAGCGGCGGCGGCCACAGATGCAGTAGTGGGATTGGAGTTAGCATTTGTATTCGTTCCAGATGAGCCCTTGGTCCTCCCATCTATGGCTTTCTGCACATTGAGCGTCTTGCCATCAAAATTCTTCATTGGCTCCTCCAAAGCACGGCGAGCACTCTCAGCAGACTTGTAAACAAACAATGCAAATCCCTTTGGTTTGCCAGTGTTCTTGTCAAAGCCCAACGGACCCTCTTCAATCTCACCAAATTGTGCAAAGTACTCATATAGGCGGTCCACGTCCACATCAGAATGCACATTACCAACAAATATCTTGCGCTGCATATTATCTGGTTGCGACGATGAGGAACCAGAAGCGTTGGTGGTGGTATTGGAGCTAGAGTTGGCATTGGTGTTGGCGTTGGAGCTAGGGTTCTGAGACTGAGAAGCTGGGGGCGCGGGACCTGAGGCGGCGAGGTGGCAGAAAGCAAGACGACCTCCGATTTGGAGCTGGGGGCGGCTGAGGGCGCGGAGCGCAGAGCGGCGCGAGCGGAAGAGGACGAACCCGTAGCCCTTGGATCTGCCGGACTGCTTGTCAGAGATGACGCGGCAGTCCTCGAGCTCGCCGAAGCGCGAGAAGGCGGAGCGGAGGTCTTCGGCGCCGGCGCCCCAGCCGAGGCCGTGGACGAAGAGCTTCCTGCTGGCCGGGTCGGCCTCCGCGGCGCGGCGCACGGCCGCCATCGTGGCGGGGCTCGCCTCAGCCGCCGTGCGGAGCAGCGCGACGAGCTGCTCCCGCGACAGCGGCTCGAGCAGCTTGGCGATGTCCTCGGCGTCGTCCTCGTCGTCGCCGGCGCCGTCGTCCTCGTCCTCGTCGGCGGCGGTGGGCTCGGGCGGGTCGTCGGTGATGGGGAAGTAGATGGTGCCGCGGGGCTTGGGCTCCGAGGACGCCTCCTGGCGGTGGTTGCCGGCGGCTGCCTCGGCGGCGGCGGCGGTCTCGGCGGGATCGGCCTTGCGCTTCTTCGGCGCCATCGGGAAGCGAGCTAGGGTTTAGGCGCAAGCTTGCGGAGGAGAGGCAGGGGAGATTGGGATTTCCGGACAACACTAGTGAGACACAAGGAAAGGAGGTGGAATAAATACACCAGGCCTTTGATTAACGGCGGCCTGGCCGGCGGCGCCGAAAAGCCCGTGATAATTGAGCCCTAATACTAGAGGCCCACTAGCAGCCCTAAGTTTTTTCTTCTTGCAGGCTAGCCCGGCTCATTTTGGAGAGGCCGCATAGTGAAGCGTTCGTCGCCGAATTTCAGGCCCATTAGTGCAGCCAAACTGTATCGATTTCGGAACAGCAGGCAGCAATAGCAACAGGCAGGTGCGTTCCTACAGCCACAGCGCAACCACAATTTCGTATATGTTTGTAATTAAGAACTCTCTTCGTCGCAAAAGAAGAAGGAGAAAAACTCAGAGCTATTTATATCATTGAATTAATCTTAAGCTCTACTAGAACAGAAACCAGTTACCGCAAAAGTCTGACCAAACTGAATGAAAATCGTGCAAGCACCTACCCCTTATGTTCTGAAATAAACATGTCTCTCTTCTTGAGGTTAAGTTTGACTAAGAATATAGAAAATAGTATTAACCATATCTTTAAATAAGTTTATTATGAAAAAAAAATATTTCATGCTCCATCTAAATGATACTTGTTATAGAGTATATTTTTGTATATATATTTGATCAATTTTTAAAAAAAAATTGACTCTAAAAAACGAGATGTGTGTTTATTTTGAGACGGAGGGAGCAGTAAAGAAAAAAGCACAAGTAAATAGCGTTGAGAACTGCTCCAGCCCTCCAGTACTATGCAAAGTCAAAACCTAAAGGCATAACGATTCCACTGACTTATGGGTTGCATCTTGCATGCATTGCTCTTTGCTCACCAGCCATAGCTACACTCTCCTTAAAGGTGCACGAACAATTCAAGGCCGGCCATGGTGACGCACACAGCGTTCTTCCTCTCCACAACTTGAGGCTTCCTGTGCGCTGTGCCCACTCCTCTGGAGGCAATGCGCCCCATGGGGCCTGCAGTGCAAGTATGGGCATGGCTGATGGCTCACGGGGAGCCTACCGACCCAACCCAGCCTCCCGGTACCTGTCCAGATAAAGAATATGTGAGGTAGAGATGGCATTGCCTGCTCCATTCTCTCCATACACTGTCCAAATTATTGGCTCCAGACCTCCCGTGGGGCATGGTATTTCTTGGTTGGATGTCCCACCGATTCGTTCTTCGCTGGAGGCCCGGAGCCTCGCTCTCTTGTCCTCCCATTTTCTTTCTTTTTTCAGAAACAAAGGCATGCATGCTGCTATCCCATGATCCCGTTCATATATGCATCACAAATATGTTGGCAGCTTCAGAAAAGAAAAGGAAGAGGGTGCAGTGGGTGTTACTGGCGCTGCACAGTGTGCTTGCTGACAGCAGATTAGTATGGTAGCGAAAAGAAAAGGTTGTTTGATTATCATGTTGTTCATGGAGATGAGGATGATATTAATATAAGATCTGATGAAAAAAATAGCCTGTCCAATAATTGATGCGTCGATCTCCTTCCTGGCGACCGATGATTGATGAAGCAAGTAGCATGGAGACAATTGTGCACCATTTTTAAACCAAGAGAGAGGAAGAGATACGTGTGTGTATCCATGACATGTAGCAAGGAGTGGTTATATTGGCCGTTGCATATTGTTAATGCTGTCCATGCACGATACATATCTTGTAACCGTACCTAACAGGATTTGCATATGCAAACGGCAAGCCTATCTGAACAGGATGCAATGCAAAATCATATGGGCGCTGCACACAAAGTCAGTCAAAAGCTGGGGTTCCTAAGTTCCTTAGACCAACACGAAATGCCTTCCTTCGTCCAGAGTGAGTAGCTCTGCAGCTACACGCCTTGATACCCATGACATGATGATCTGTTTTAGGCTTTTAGCAACTTGCAATGCACAAAGCAATCACTCGCCATCAGCTTAGGCCACATCTACTCACTGATCAATACTCTAGGCATAAAAGGCCAAGATCTGGCGTTACTTTGGGATCGAAACACTACGTTCGTGTGCTGCTTTTCACTGCCTTTTGCAATTAAGAAGATTATCACTGTGCCTTCTCGCTCGTTGATTGCAAGGTTCTTTTGATCCTATATGAGAAACGATGACGAGCACAGACCGGCCATTGTTTCCATTCCCTTTTGTTTTCCCGTTTTTAAAAATTGCATGATGTTCACTTTTGGAGATTTGGAACCCACACACACATGCATACAAATTGTCCTGTGTGTTTTTAGTAATCTTTGAAGAAACATAACTAAACTAAGGTAGAATGGAGGTTGTATATAGCACTGTAGATATCTATCCGGATGAAAAACATGGTGTTTAGGACAAAATTTAGTCAAACCATAGAAACTACAAACCTCAACTTTGAAATTACAGTAAAGTCCAAATTACCTCTGAACTAATATCTGGATGTGAAAAAAACCACTCAACTTTAATATCAAACAACATACATTCAACTTTCAAGACCGGGTAAAATATTGAACGTGTGTAGAATTGTACTGAAAAATAATTGCAAAATCTCATAAATTTTGAAGGATTTTATGAATGTATTCTAGAAAAAAATAGTGATAAGATATGCACCGAGGACCGTGCAAAATAAAATGTGAGCAGTATTTATTTTTTTTACTGGAGGAAGTAGGAGGTTCAATCACTGCTCACGTGGGAATCTTAGTCATATTCCATTATGCTTGTTGGCTCGGTGAAACGGAGTAGAAGTGTAGAACGCCAACGCCTCATGTAGTCATGTATGTATGGAGATCCAGCCTTACCATTCCTTTGCTTTTGGTAGTGCTCCTGCAACTTTCTTTAGGTTATCTTTCATTTGTGCATTGTTTTCAACTTTTCATGCGAGTTCAATTCAAGTCTTGTTGCTTTGCTATTGCTAGGCTACCAAGTTGATGATTTAGTTAGAGTTCCCCAAACACTTGAGATCACAAAGTTAATATCTTGCCAGAGTCAGAGTCTTAGAGACAATGCCATTCTCAAACAAGTTCTGCTACAAGTAGCAGATGTTGTATGTACATCCATATCTGACCATAAAATCCCAATGTAGAGTCTAAAGAACATCCTAATCCAGGAGGTTTGGATGGCAACTTTCCAGAATGATTTTTTTTTCTCTCCTGTCAGAATGGGTACCTGAACCCTGCCTCTCAGTTCGTTCAGACTTCAGGTAGCTGATGAGCTGCCGCCCAAGCCCAGACAAAGCTTGGTCCCACCAGGTCGTTCAACGCAGCATCAGATGCCGTCAATCCAAATTCTTATTCCGCTTCTCCAATCTACCGCTGCCTGCTTCTGCCTGCCGACAGGTAGCCAACCGGAATCCTCGACGCTGAAGAAACCTGAAAAATGCGTCTTGAAAGTAAACAGTTCCTTTCTATTTTTCCCTTCAGATCAGCACAGAGGAGACGGTACGATCTGAGCTTTATGATCTTGGCAACCCTAACTTCCCTGAAAATCTGAAATCAAACGGCTGCATCTGATGTCTGAATGGGGGATTTCTTTTCTTGATGAATCTGCTGCCCTTCCTGAACTATTTTACTCACTCAGGTCCCGATTTACTCGAGGGTGTATAAAAATTTTTCCCCAACTTTTTACCAGAAAATTTTCCTGAAATCATACACAACATCATGAACATCGGAAAGGAGGGCAAAAGAGGCCGGGGAAAAGAAGGGCGCAAACCAATCAAGCCAAAAGGAAAGCAAGGCGACGAAGGAATCAAGCAGCCACAGCCACGACCATTGCTGCAACGCATTCTCACTCCAAAAGGAGGCAGAAAAAACACCCAGCTGATGTAGACACGCATGAACAGCTTCAATAATGCTGGCATCAGCAAGCAGGGTCCCTTTGCAATAAGGTTCAGTAGTTTCCATATATTAGCACGACTTCATCATTGTGGCCTAATTATACTATTAATTGATCCCATAGTGCTTTATCTTATCTCTTCTTCTTTAGGTTGCCCGTCGAAAGGCTCCTCTTCTTTTGCGCCTTTTTTGGCAAAGGAGAATTCTTCGTCGTCGCGCACCAGCGTTACGCAATTCACAAAAGAGTAGGTGCCCCCACTAGGTGTAATATATTCCTCTTCGTTTTGTTTTGTTTTGCTTTGCTTTGGATCAGATTATTATGCAGTGTAATTTTCCTCTTGCCTTTGGAAAGATATGGGCAATGATTGCGAATAGTGGGACGACTTAGACTCGCTAATTAGTAGACGACATAGTATTACAAAATAAAACTCTTAAGAGACTTATGCCTTGTCTCACGTCTTCGACTGAATGTCGTGTTTGAATATAGTTTCTCGTTACCAAGATAGGTATTTCTACTGTATAATTAATTGACTGATCAACATGATGTGTTCTTCTCAACAAGACTATTAAGTATCGACACCCTTGGGTTAGCGAAAAATGTAGCACCACCACCACTGCAGAAAGCACTGAGGAATTGGAGACAGGTAGCATTGGAGCAAAAAAGAAAGATGTAAAGGATGCTTCTTTTTGGGAAGGTTGAGGAGGTCTAGTGATCAGGAGGGGGATACCCCAGAAATGGGAAGTTCCACCGTGCACCAACTTGTGAATCTAGTGATGTCCCTTACCTGCATCATGGAATCTAACGGGACCCCATTATAGGGTCATCACAACAACAAACATTACTTAAATCCTTATGTCCTTCTTAAGGTTCCAAGGGCACTACAGCAATTGAGGTAAGTCATGATAAGCTCACTTTGTAAATTTGTGTGAACCTACTGGTGTCCTCCATTCCATTGTACTCCCTGAAACCATTTAAGTGTACATAGTTCATCTGTATCTTGAGTAACAAGCTCACAAATGCAAGGACCATTAATCTGTAGGAGTTCTTGTGCCAAAATAAGTTCCCTTTGCACCAAAAATTCCTATCTATATAAGTAACTATATAACACGCCTGCAGTCTTCTTGCATGCACCTTTC